ACTGTTCAACTTTGGGCTTGATTTTTGTTGAAAAAGATATAAAATATGTTTATTTCACCTAAATTTATATAACAAATCCTCTCATTAACCCTCATCAAATTTTTACAACTTCCTAATCCAGGTACTTAAGATGTTCCAGAATATTTCTCTTAGTTTGGATTTTCTTTTCAGAATGTAATCATTGCACTAAGATATCGAGGTGTGTAGCATCCTTTCAGATGCTGTTTAGCCAATTAAAAAAAAAGACTTGGGGGAGAGGGTGGGGGACAGTGAGATGTTCAGAAAGTATGAGCATTTGCTATCAAGCCTGACAACCTTGAGTTCAAATTCCAGAACTCATATAGGAGAAGGTAAGAACTATTTCCTCAAGTTGTCCTCTGGCCTACACACACACACTCCTATAAAACAAATAAATGTAAAAAAGTGTAAAAGGTTTTTTTTTCTTGTCAAGAATGGTGGTACATATCCATAATCCCAGCATTCAGTAGGCAGAGGCAGGAGAATTGCTACATGCTTAGGGCCAACATAGACAACATAATGAATTTCACACCAGCCCAGGCTGCACAGTGAGACGATGTATCCAAAAATCAAATTAAGTAAAATTTTGTTCTGATATTCATCATCACTATTTCAAACCAATAGTACCTTTAGTGTTATTGTTTCCTTAACATGTATATAATGTGAACACAATATTTACATCCATTTTCCATGAAATATTTATAGAGAGGAAAGTCCATAAATGAATCCTTTTTAAGCATTTTATCATTTTTCCTCTTGGTCACAATTTCTATAGTAGGTTCCTCAGATGTAACTGAGTCAAATGTAGTTTACTAAATTACCCTAGGTGGGTGGTCTTGAAAGTTTCTTCTTTACCAACTCACTCCACATGAGAACCATTCTCCTTTATGTCTATATCTAGGTCCTTTGTCTAGCAGCAACTTGTTGGAAACCCGCATGGTAAGGGAATTGTCCTCTAGTGATATGGAAAAAGAAAATCTGAAATGTGGCTTCATTTTCAGTTGTGTGAGCCACAATAAAGAAAACGATGAAGAATCGTTCACCAAAACATAGTTTTTAATTTGCAATCATTACGTATTAAGACCTGGTTGAAGGGAAAAGATTATTTTAGTAAGTGCAGGGTAGACATGGCATGGGAAAAGAGCACAAAGCGAAAGGGTAGGAATAGGATGACAGACCTAGTTTGCCTTTTGGACCTAGATCTTGAGCAGTTTTCCTATAGGCTGGAGAAACCTCATCAGTAGAAGGGTCATCAATGGGTGCTAGACTTGCCTTGGGCGTTTCAATCTCTACATTCATTATAGAACATTAAGTTAATGGTGATGTTGGCTTCTTGGTGCAATCTGAAAGTAAGAATCATTACTGATGCACTTCAGTGAGCTGTGGCAGGGCTCCACATTCATTAGATTTCACACCTAGCAGCAGCCATTCTTTAAATGGTCCATTTGCTTATCAAATCAGCCAGGTGTTCTGCTTTGAAGCAGAGAACCTCAGGGCTGGAGAGAACCAGCAGTTAAGAGCACTGACTGCTCTTCCAGAGGACGAGAGGCCACTCCCAGCACCCACATGGGGGCTCGCAGCCATCTGTGACTGCAGTGCTAAGGGACCGGACGCCTCTTTATACCTCCCTTGATACTACATGCATTTGGTACACATACATACACTCAGGCACACACACACACATTAAATAATTTTTAAATATTTATTTGTTTTTATGTGCTTTAATGTTTTGCCTGTATGTATGTCTGTATAAGGGTTCCAGGTCCCCTGGAACTGGAGTTAGAGGCAGTTATGAACTGCCACGCAGGTGCTGGGATTTGAATCCAGGTCCTTGGACGAGCAGCCCGTGTTCTTAATCCTTGAGCCATCTATCCAGCTCTAAATAATTTTTTAAAAGAAGGGAACCTATTTTTTCTTATTCTTGATTTTCTGTAGACTTTTACCTTCTGCTAACTGAATTAAGAATTATAGTAGGCTTCTCAACTCTACAGCCTTTAGACTTTCACAAAGGGGAAATGCTTCAATGTTTAGCATTCCAGAATGCAGCTAGAAAGGAACAATGAAAAGCCTCCAAATTCAGTAGAAACTGGGCATTTATCATGGTTGGGCCGTGTTTGGGTTCACACTATATGTGGTCTTATTCTGTAGACTCTCTCCCTCTCTCGGCCTTAGTTTTTGCTTCTGTAGATGTCTGAATTTCACTAGAACAGCTGAGTCCCATTTAGTACTCAGACTCAAACCAAACTCTTTTCCTCAGTCGAAAATCATAAACAAATTCTGTTCTTCCCTTAGTCCTCTAGGTTATCTAGATAATTGACATAGGCTGGATTTTTATTTGGTTTGGCCCACTTAACTCAGATTTTTTTTTTTTTTTCTGAGACTAGGGTCCTAGTATTGCCTTGACAATGCCCTAAAAGGTTGGACAAACTGAAACTTTACACTCTAGGTATTCTACAATAGTAATTTAATTGTGAGGGTAGAGCATGGGCAATATGTTTGTCTTTTTTTTTTTTTTTTCCAGTGATAGGATCTAACATAGGGCTTTAGGCATCCTAAGCAAGCACTGGACTACTTAAATGCATCCTCAGCCTTGTTCCTTGTTTTTTCTACATTTATTTAACTTTCTGTGTCTCTGTTTCTGTCTCTGTCTCTGTGTGTATGTGTGGGGAGAGAGAGAGACAGAGAGAGAGAGAGAGAGAGAGAGAGAGAGAGAAAGAAAGAGAGAGAGAGAGACTGCACATGTATGGAGGTTAAACTTGGTTCTTTCCTACCATTAAGTAGGTTCCAGGGATCAAACTTGGTTATCATGCCTGGCAGCTTGGCAGCAAGTACCCTTACAAGCTGAGCCATCTTGACAGTCCCAATACATTTTCTGAGACAGGGGCTTGTTACTATGTGGTCCAGGCTGCCCTTGAACTTACTATGTAACTCAGGCTGGCCTGAAACTTGAAATTTCCCTGCTTCTGCTGCTTAGGATTTACAGGCATGTTATATATTCTATATAATATATGTGTTTTTGTTATAATGTAAATATATTGTGATATTACACACACCCCACCTAAATTCATATAAGAGGTCTTATTCTTGTTCCTGAAAAAAAAAATGTCTCTAGCCAGGCAATGGTGGCACACACCTTTAATCCTGGCACTTAGGAGGCAGAGGCAGGTGGATCTCTGAGTTCGAGGCCAGCCTGGTTTACAGAGTGAGTTCCAGGACAGCCAGGGTTACACAGAGAAACACTGTCTCGAAAAACAAAAAAAAACAACACAAAACAAAATGTTTCTATGAGTAGCTACCGATTTCTATCTGATGTGATCTGTTGTCTCTGGTGAGGTAGTCACAAGAGGCGTGGTGCTCAGTGGTAAGAGCGCTTGCTGTCTCTCTACATCCTGAGTTCAGTTCCCAGCACCCACATCAGGAAACTTACAACTGCCCATAACTCTACCGTTGGGGAATTCTAATACTTTCTTCTGGTCTCTGCAGTCATTTGAACACATGCAGGCATATATACAGACACCTAAGTAAAAAAATATAAAATCTTTTTCTTAAAAGAAACATAAAAGAGGGGCTGGCAAGATGGCTCAGTGGGTAAACATGCCACTTGCTACACAAGTTTGATGACCTCAGTTTGATACCTGTAGCCTACATAAAAGTGGAAGAAGAGAGCTAACTCCATAGGGTTGTGTTCTGACCTTCACACACACACACACACACACACACACAAATAATAATAATAATAATAATAATAATAATAATAATAATAAAGCAGAAACATGAAAATAAAAACGCCTGATGAGAATGAACCAACTGCTATTTTTCCTGTTGCTGTAATGAAAAATACCATAACAAAAGCAACTTAGGAAGAGCTTATTTTAGCTCCAGTTCTGTCACAGCAGGGAAGTCATGGCAGCAGTCACACTGTATCTCCAGTCTGCAAGAAGAGGAATATGCATGCTGAAGCTTAGCTGGCTTTCTCCTTTTATGCAATCCAGGACCCAAATGCAGACGATGGTGTCACCCTCTATTAGAGAGTGGATCTCCCCATGCACAAACTATGGCCCAAATGCAGACGATGGTGTCACCCTCTATTAGAGAGTGGATCTCCCCATGCCAGTTAAACTAATCAAGATGTCTGAGTTAGGGTTTTTATTGTAGTGAAGAGACACCATGACACCAAGAGACAGCAACTTTTATAAGGTAAACATTTAATTGGGGTGGCTCACTTACAGTTTCAGAGGTTTAGCCCATTATCATCATGGCAGGGAGCATGGCAGTGTGCAAGCAGGCAGACATAGTGCTGGAGAAATAGCTGAGAGTTCTGCATCTTTAAGGCAATAGAAATTCGATTGAGACACTGGGCTGTATCCTGAGCATAGGAAATCTCAAAATCTGCCTTCACAGTGACACACTTCCTCTCCAACAAAGACACACCTCCTAATAGTGCTACTCCCTATGACATTATGGGGGCCAATTGCATTCCAACCACCGTACAAGGTAATTCCATGGGCCAGGGTAATGGTCTAACCAGTAAAAGCTCTTGCCACGAACAAATCTGACAACCTGAATTCATCCCTGGATGCCATGGTGGAGGAGAACCAGCTCTACCTAATACAGCTTAAACCTACCAGAATAAGATCAAATGCCTAGCAGTTACAAACTTGCTCTTGTGAGTACAAAGTGTCCATTTCAGTTGTTTTATTTTTGCTTTGTTTTGTTTTGTTTGTCTGAAATCCAGGCACACAGCTCTGCACATGTTATGCAAGTACCCTCTTACTGAGCTACACAGTCAGCCCAGCTATAGGTTCTCAGGTAAAGGCTATTATGCCCTCAGAAATGAGATTTGGTGTATAAAGGGCAGGAAGTTAAGAGGCAGCATTTCATACTGGAATATTCACCTAAACTAACGAACCGGGACATGCAGTCTCCCAGGAGAATGAAAGCCTTGTCGGTGCTGAGATACTGATGGATGTCCCTTATTTCAGGAAGCTGGAGACAATAGCCAGTTCTGCTGGAGGAACCTCTTTTCCTGCATCAACCTCCTGAGGCTGCTCAATAAACTGACCAAATGGAAGCACTCCCGGACCATGGTAAGCAGGACTTTAGATCACAGAGGTATCCGTTCAACTGAATTGTTAAATCACTAGTATTTGTAGATTGCCTGCCTGGAAAAGATAGATAGCTGGTGAATGCTACCTAAGTTTCCGCACTTCCTAACTCTGGGCACTTATTCCAAGATGATTGCTCACTGGTCCATTTCTTTTCAGGAAACTAAATATAGACAACACTCTTAAGGCAGCTCTAACAAGGGAAGCCAGCCACATTTGGATTATAGTTACACATCCAAAAATGATGCAAGTCTAACATTCATTGCGATGCTGCTTATGAGAGTCTGGAAACAACTTAATATTCTTTAACAAGGGCCAACTGCATAAATTAATTGTGGTGTTTCCTTAAAGTAGTATATGATAAACGATTTTAAAGAACGATGTCTCTGCTGGTATGGAGTAATTTTAAGATATATTATTAAATTTAAAGAGGCCGTTAATTCCAGCACTCAGGAAGAAGAAGCGAGGAGGATTTCTGTAGTTTCAAGGCAAGCCTGATCTAGATAAAGAGATCCTGTGGGATATGTGAGTTAGAGAGATGGCTCGGGAGTGAGTTAATGTGCTGTTCTTGCAAAGGACCCAAGTTTGGTTTCTAGCACCTATGTCAAACAGTTCACATCTGTTGGCAACTCCAGCTCCAGAGAGAGCCAATGTCTCTTGTCCCCAAGGATACATGTACTCAAATACACATACACACACAATTTTAAAAAATTAATCATGATATAGAACAGTATACTTGGCTATTACTTGTGTTAAAATACAAAATAATACGTATGTGACATAGCTATAGTCAAAATTATCTCCAGGGCTAGTGAGATGCTCAGCTGGGAAAAGTGCTTGGTATGCATGCCTGGTGACCTGAGTTTGATTCTTGGAACCCACAGTGGAAGGAGAGAACTGAAAATTGTCCACTGGCCTCCATATGAGTTATTCATTTTATGTGTGTTTTTCCTTCATGTATGTATGTGTACCACTTTGTGCCTGGTGCCCACAGAGGTCAGACAGAGGAGGGCATTGGATCCCCTGGAACTGGAGTTACAGATGGTTGTGAACTACAATGAGGGTGCTGGAGATTGAACCCAGGTCCTCTAGAAGAGCAACAAGTATTCTTAAGTGCTATGCCAAACTTTAAATGAATTAGTTCTTTGTTTTTTTGTATATCACAAGACTGGCTTTGAACTCATGATCAGCCTCTGAATATTTTGATTACAAGTGTGTGCCACCATGTCTGGCTTAATTCGTGTGTGTGTGTGTGTGTGTGTGTGTGTGTGTGTGTGTGTGGTAGACAGTGTTTCACTACCCTAGGCTAGTCTCAAACTCCTTATATAGTTCTTTTGTATTCTCTAAGACTAACTCTTAAGCAGTTTGAACCTTAGATCCTCAGGGTCTCATAGGATAACCAGAGTTGTCTATATTGTCTGAGTTGGAAATTCTAAAAACTTCACATGACGATGGACTTTTTGTCACTCTGTCTCTGTATCACTGGGCAGATGCTGGTGGTGTTTAAATCAGCTCCAATCTTAAAGCGAGCCCTCAAAGTCAAACAGGCCATGCTACAACTTTATGTTTTGAAGCTACTAAAGATACAGACCAAGTACCTTGGGCGCCAATGGAGGAAAAGCAACATGAAGACTATGTCAGCCATTTACCAGAAGGTGCGCCACCGCATGAATGATGACTGGGCTTATGGCAATGGTGAGTATTTGTAAAATTTGGGCTCACTAATTTGGCTAGGCTGGCTGGCCACTGAGCTCAGAGATTTGCCTGTCTCTGCTCCTGCAGCACTGTGGTTATATAAATGCACACTGCAACCCCTGGCTTTTACATAGGTGCTAGTGATCCAAACTCAGGTCCTCATGCCATCTCCCCAGCCCCAAAATATGATACTAATTTTATGATATGGTAAAATGTTTGCATACTTACAGTAGTTTGTTTGTTTGAGACAAGGTCTTACTATGTAGCCTTGGCTGGCCTGGAACTCACTATGTAGACCAGGCTGGCCTCAAATTCAAGTGTTCTCTGCCTGCTTCTGCCTCCCAAATGCTGGGAGTAAAGACATATGCCACAATATGCCCAGCTGAGTTGGTCTAGAATTGACTCCTCATGTTCTGCTCCAATCTCCCCTTCCTTGAGAGGTGATTCTACTCAAATGGGAAATTTTCATCCCCTAGAGAAAGCTCAATAAAAGGTTTTAATTGCTCTTTTGAATAACATGATTACTAGAAAGAAACAAAGCCGGGTGGTGGTGATATACACCTTTAGTCCCAGCACTCAGGAGGCAGAGGCAGACAGATCTCTGATGTTTGAGGCCAGTCTGGTCTACAGAGTGAGTTCCAGGACAGACTCCAAAGCTACAGAGAAACTCTTGTCTCAAAAAAAAAAAAAAAAAAAAAAAAAAAAAAAAAAAACGAATAAAAGCCAGGCGGTGGTGGCGCGCACACCTTTAATCCCAGCACTCAGGAGGCAGAGGCAGAGGCAGGTGGATCTCTGTGAGTTCGAGACTAGCCAGATCTACAAGAGCTAGTTCCAGGTCAGCCTCCAAAGCCACAGAGAAACCCTGTCTTGGAAAACCAAAAAAAAAAAAAAAAAAAAAAAAAGAAGAAACAAACAACAAGGAATTACAATAAAAAGCTCTCCCATCTCCTTCCTCAACAGTGACTACTGTTACCAGTTTCTATAATTCAAAGATAATTTCTGTATATATTAGTTTATATGTGATCATATTATACTTTTAAAACCTGCAAACATGCTACCTGTCTGCTTCATACATTGCTCTTAAAGAACATTCTGAGCAGTTTCATTGTTAGCTTGCCATAGACCGTGCTCTGTGGAAGAGAGTAATGCCAGGATTTATCTTTTTCTTCCTCTCTTCCTATGTCAGACATTGATGCCAGGCCATGGGACTTCCAAGCTGAAGAGTGTACCCTGAGGGCCAACATTGAGGCTTTTAACAGCCGCCGGTATGATAAACCACAGGACTCAGAGTTTTCGCCTGTGGATAACTGCTTGCAGAGTGTGCTGGGGCAGAGGTTGGATCTGCCTGAAGATTTCCACTATTCCTATGAGCTCTGGCTGGAGAGAGAGGTGTTTTCGCAGCCCATCTGTTGGGAGGAGCTGCTCCAGAATCACTAAGCTCTTGTCACAAAGCATCTGATAGATGGATGTGCTTTGCCTATCCTGTCCCTTCAGCTCCAGAGTGTGTGTCAGCAGAAGTTCCAACCCAGCATCCAGCAGGGACTTCCCGCATAGTTCAGGGCTATTCTGGATGCCATTAGGCCTGAAGGTGGTGCAAAGCTGGGATCCTGAGTCAAAGCACTTGGACCAGCTTGCTCTAGGCTCAGCTAAGTACCTAGGTGGCCTTGAAATCTCTTGATGGATCAGTGCTGGTGAGGCTCTTTTATGGAGCCTGGTTTAATCTTGCCTAGAACCAGGCTAGCCTTTGTTACAAATTTGTTATGGCATTGGACCCATGACATTCATCTCAAGCAATGAGATAGGTACAGGCCATAAAATGAGGAAATTTTCTTCTTGCTCACTCTAAATGCCTGAGACCTAACATTTAGACTGTATTTCACATTTAAGGTTTTGACACTTACCTCTTTATAAAATAACCATTCACTCTATGATCTGAGAGCCCTGCCCCTTTATAAAGGATGATTGTTTGCAAATATTGCATGTTATAGAAAAACGTATAGATCCTTAAGAGATCTGTGTTCAGTGTTAAAGTGTTTCCTGTGTATTTGGTATAGTGCTTTGAGTGGTTTGCCGTTTGGGAAGAACCACCTCTAATGTGAAATAATGTGGCCTTCTCTAAAAATATCTTATGTTTTTCATAAATTATTTGTATCAAAATGGGTGAGTACACTGCAGAAAATTACTAATAGAACCCCAAATCTTCATTTGAGTGAGGAGAGGAGTAGTGTTGCTTGAGACAGGATCTGGTTATGTAGCCCTACTTGGGCTGGAACTTCCTATGTAGACAGGCTGGCCTTGAACTTGTAGTGATCCTCCTGCCCCCACCTCCTGAAGCCTGGGTTATAGGCTTGAGCCACCACCTCTAGCCAATTCACTTTTAAATGACAAGTTGATTATAGGAGGTTTTATTTACTGATATGTGTCCATTTGTGATTTTTTTTTTTAATTAAAAGCAACAGCATTGCCAGGCGTTGGTGGCGCACACCTTTCATCCCAGCACTCGGGAGGCAGAGACAGGCAGATCTCTGTGAGTTCCAGGCCAGCCTGGTCTCTAGAGCAAGTGCCAGGACAGCCTCCAAAGCTACACAGAGAAACCCTGTCTCAAAAAACAAAACAAACAAAAAAGCAACATCATCACAGTTTATATTTTTTCTTCCGTGTTCATTATTTTTTACTTTTTTTTTTCTGCTAGAAGTTTCAATATGGTTTGTACTAAAAGTATCACACATTTCATGGAAGGTGTCTCTACTCCTCCTTTACAGCAAAATCACTTACTTCCAAAACTAAGGGTTTTTTTTTTTTTTTATCTTTGCACTTTTTTATTTTAAAGTTCTCCCCATTGCCCAGACACTACTGAGTCTTTTTATGATGGCACAAGGACACTTTATTCCTACAGAGTTGGTCCACACTGGCTCGTTTACTCTATCCCTGTCAATCACATTCTCACTTGTAGGTCATGATAGAGACCCAGCCTATCAAAAGGAGCAATCAGTACCTCTATGCTTTGGGTAGTAGGACTCCTTAATGTGGAAAAGTGACAAAAAACATTTAAGTATGTAATGGATGAAATATCTTCAAATAATTTGCAAAGTTTATCAAACCGTGACAGCAATCCTCATTCCAAGCAGTTTACTGAGCATAGCATCAGGCAATTTTATTAATCTTGAGTCAGGCTACTATGTTTTAATGATATTTGAGTAAAAAGATAATTATCCAGGAAAGAGAATAATCAATCTACTTTAAAGTTGTATCATATTCAGTTGTATAAGGAAAAAAATAAGTTGCCTTTTAAAAACACACACAAATGCTTTCAGAGGCACGGACATATGCTAAGATTTAATATGTCGAATTTTATTACTTATAACTCTGAGAAGATTAATTCTCAATACAGATGGAGAAACTACCTTGCAAGGATGAATAATTAGTTTCAAATGACATCATCTTCCCTCTACAACTTGCTGTGGCTGGTTTTCTGCTATTGGCAGCTAGCCCCTTGTGCTAAGATAACTGGGTTGGAGCTCCCAATTTGAGAGCTCATGTGTGTGCCTAGAAATCACTTCAGATTAACCAAATTTAATGATGATTATAATTTCTACATAGAAGCATGCTATTTGGGTGATTTATAAAATAGGGACTTTATTTGTGAACATTTCAGTGAAGTTTGTGTTATAATATTGTTCATCTCACCAAATACTTTAATAAAAAGAAAACATGAAGTTCGAATTTTGGTCTTTCTTTAAGACAAGATAATCTTAAAGTCATGTTGGATAGAAAAGGATATAGAATAAATATAGAACTACAAATCTCAATGATGTAACAGATGTCTATGTCATCATCATGGGTCTGAGGTCAGCCACTTGACTGTCTTAGATTACAGGATTGGCTTTTCTCTAGAATTATTCTTATTCTGACATAAGACTGGATGTATGTCCCTACCTAGAACATACTGTTTCATAGTGAAAGGCAAAAGCAAGAAACAAACCACACCATGGAGGTACATTTCAGAGCTCCTGCTTGGATATGGCAGAAGGCAAATTGTTCATGTCATTGGCCAAAGTCAGTTACCATGGACAAGCCTAACAGTGGGCCAGAAAAGCACTCTCTGCCTGAAGGGTGGCAGATATGGGGTGGTGTGATGCTTTTGTGGTCATGCTGACAAATATCTGTCCCTAACCCTACACAACATACGCATAGCTCCTCCCCAAGGAAGGCTTCAAAATCTTATCCAATGAGATCTTAAAGTCCAGGATCTCATCAAGTCTAGGTGCACTCTTTTCCTTTTTTTATAGAAATAGGGCCTGAGGCTGACCTTGACCTAGATGTACTGATGTTGATCCTGAGACTTGAAAACTGAATTATAGTGATCAATTCAAATATGTACATATACTTTTGGTCTTTTTGTTTGTTTCTTTTGGTTTGATTTGGTTTGGTTTGGTTTTCTGGTTTTCAAGAGTTTCTTACTCTGTAGACCAGGCTGACCTCAAACTCAGAGATCCTTCTGGCTCTAACTCCTGAGTGCTGGGATTAAAGGCGTGCGCTACTACCACCTGGCACCAGGATACCTTTGTACGTCTTAAACATACACAATTTTTGTCAGTGATACCTCAATAAAGCTGTTTTTGTTTATTCTGCTTTTGAGGTAGGGTCTCATGTAGCTCAGGCTGGCTTTGCACCTGTTACATGCTCAAGGTGAACTTGAACTTTGATATATCAATCCATAGTGATTCTGTAATCCCAGTGAACAAATGTAATGCCCTGTTCTTTTGGATCAGAGAGATCTCTAGGCTGCTCTGTAAAGTAGTTTCCTGCCTTTCAGTATTCTGTGGGATTAGAAACAGATTTCTTTGCACTTAGAAACTGAGGCAGGAAGATGGTGGTTTAGAGGATCAGCCTGGGCTATATAGTGAGGCCCTTGTCTCAAAGAAGCCAAGAAGTACATGCTTCAGGAGCCCAAGCCAACTAGCTGCAGCAGTCTCTTCAGCCAGCTACTCCACCCCCAGTGTTGCCAAAATGTAGCTTTCTCACCAGCTGAGTCTGGACAAGCTGGGCATGAAGGAGAAGTGAGCCATTATGAGAGTGGACTTCAATGTTCCTATGAAGGACAACCCGGTAACAAATAACCAAAGGATCAAGGTTGCTGTTCCAAGTATCAAATTCTGCTTGGACCTGGAGCCAAGTCAGTTGTCCTTATGATGGTGTTCCCATGGCTGACAAGTACTCATTAGAAGCAGTTGCTACAGAACTCAAATCTCTGCTCAACAAGAATGTTCTGTTCTTGAAGGAGTGTGTGGGCCAGAAATAGAGAAAGCCATGCCAACCCAGTGGCTGGGTCTGTCATCTGACTGGAGAACCGCCACTTCCATGTGGAGGAGGAAGGAAGGGGAAAAGATGCTTCTGGGAACAAGCTTATAGCTAAGTCAGACAAAATAGATGCTTCCCAGGCTTCCCTATCCAAAGGGAAGGATATCTATGTCAATGATGCTTTCAAGACTGTAGTGAGCCCACAGCTACATGGTGGCTATGAATCTTCCACAGAAGGATGGTTTGTTGTTGTTTTTTGTTTTTTATGAAAGAGCTGAACTACTTTGCCAAGACTTTGGAGAGTCCAAAGTGATCCTAGCTATCTTGGGCAGAGCTAAAGTTACAAACAGGATCCACCTGATTAATAAATGCTGGACAAAGTCATTGTCAGTGGAATGGCTTTTACCTTCTTTAAAGTAAACAACATGGAGATTTGTACTTCTCTGTATGATGATGATGATGAGGCCAATATCATATCAAAGCTGAAAAGAAATGGCATGAAAATTACCTTGCTTGTTGACTTCATCACTGCTGACAAGTTTGATAAGAATGCCAAGACCAGTCAAGCTACTGTGATCTCTGGCATAAATGTTGACTGGATGGGCTTGGACTCAGGTACTGACAGCAGCAAGAAATATCCTGAGGTTGGCTCTAGCAGAGTAGATTATTTGGAATGGATCTATGGGGGTATTTAAATTGGAAGCTTTTTCCAGGGAAACCAAGTCTCTCATTGATGAGGTGGTGAAAGTTACTTCTAGGGTTGCATCACTGTCATAGTAGAGACATTGCCATTGCCATTGCCATACACTATGCCAAATGTAACAGAGGATGAGATCAGCTGTGTGAGTACTGGGGTTGGTGCCAACCCCAAGCTCCTGGGAGGTAGAGTCCTTCCTGGGACACATGCTGTCAGCAATGTTTAGTATTTTCCTACCTTTGGGTTCCTGTGCACAGCTACTAAGCCAATTTAGTGTTTTCTATATCTCCATTTGATGTTAGCACAGGGTTCAGCTAGTGGCCAAGAGATGAGGCACCAGGAACCATTAAACAGTTGCCCATCTGAATTCATCTTTACTGCACAGGGACTTGTCTATTTTCTTCAAGGTCCCATTTAAATTCCTCAGTGACTAAACCATTGCACATTCTAGAGTACATCTATTTATATTCTGCTTGTAAAAGAAAGTAAGCTGTAATCGTTCAGTTCTCATTTTCATGTAGGCTACTGTCTATGATTCTGCATGGAAATAAGATGAAATTCCAGTTGCAGGTTCAGAGATATTGATGATCTATTAAACAGTAGAGTTGTCCACTGGGGGCAAGGGAACACAGGGGTTAGTCCTTTTCTAACACCCTTTGCTATGTCTGAAAGGGATTGTTTCTTCTGCATTCTTGGTGGCTGAACATCTTCCTTAGTGTATGTGTTGTTAGGGACTGTTGAGGTACAAAAGTCATTTCATATTTTAAGCAGTCATTATCAAAAGCATTTTAAAAGTCTAAACCCAGTGAGCTTGTTTGCCTGTAGTTAGAACCACAATTTCTCTACATACCTCTCGAGATTTGATTACTGTCCTCCTACTGTAGCCAGCCTCTGTATTGTCATCCTATTGGCCTCTTTTCTTTGAGCCTTTTTGCCCAGTGGAAGTTTGCTGGGGCTTTTTGAATACCACTCTGATTGGTCTTCACTCTAGGGCAAAGCAACCTTTGGATTCAAATATTTTTATAGTTTTTCTCATAAGCTGAATAAACAATTGCAATATTCAACCTTTATTAAATGTTGAAATTTCTGAATGACCTTTTCCCTAACCTTGCTTGAGGCTAGACCAGTATTGTTGTTGTTTTATTTTTTATTTTGAGCCATTCCTTGCTTGTAATATTTTAACAAACACAGCTAATACTAGCCAACTCCTGCTACCAACATCTCTGTTTTCAAACTTTCTCACCCAGGTCAGGCATGACAACATAAACCTATAATCTATCTGAGATAGCCTGTCATGGTAGCGCATACTTTGAACCCCAACACTTGGGGGCGGAGGCAGAAGGATCACTGGGAGTTTAAGTCCAGCCTGGGTTACATAATGAGTTCCAGGGCATCTGGGGCTACAGATCAAGGTCCTCCTCTTAGAAGCCAAAACAAGTTAAAAACAAACAAAC